TTAAATAGCTCATTCAAGCACAGATGTGGTTCGGTGCAACCGGGGGTGGCAAAAAAAAATTCACCCATCATGAATGTTGGGAGGTGGTGAAATATTGTAAACGCTTCAATATTATTCCCACGGGTCCCGACGTTGTGTTAAACGAGACGCCTCTCCGTGATGCAACGACATCGGATTCACCTCTCGATTCCCCTATGAGTGAAGACTCACCCATCCAAAAGGAACCGAGGCCCATTGGCCGAAAGGCTGCGAAGGCAAAAAAAACGGGTAATTCAAGCAATCATAATTCAAAGTTTTTGGAGGAAATTGCAAGGCAAAACGGCATAAGAATTGAAATGGAGCAAAAACGCCAAGATATGGAGGTGGCAATTCAAGCCGAGTGTGCACGAGAAAAAGAGTATTTGCGCAAAAAAGATATGGAGAAGACGGATCGGGAAACTATGGATGAAAATCATATCTGAAATTTGAAATTCATCCGAAGTTTGAACCCAAATTTATCTGAAATTTGAATTTTGAAATTCATCCGAAATTTGAACCCAAATTTATCTGAAATTTGATTTTTGAAATTCATTCGAAATTTGAACCCAAAAATTTATCTGAAATTTGAATTTTGAAATTCATCCGAAATTTGAACCAAAAAATCTTATCCCGAAATTTTATCCGATTATGAATAGTCTTGACACGTAGGAACCCGTAAATCTTATCCGAAAATATTATCCAAATTAATTATTAAGGTAAATAAAATTGTGAATAAAACAAAAAAATAAATAGTAATTGCCCTTAGCTAGGGCAATGGGTGGAAACACAAAATTCTGATTTTGCAAGGTACTATTCAAGTGAATAGTAGCTGCCCTAGCTTCCCCCCTTGCCATGGCTAAGGGCAAATGGGTGGAGTTGCTCTAAGGATTAGATATTCTAGACAAACTAGAATAATTGGGATAGATAAATCTACATGATTATGCTTGTGCTTGCGTAGAGTATATCAGCATAAAAATTAGTACAGAACCTTATTTGGCAAAAACTTGCATCGGTAGTTCTATCTGATTGTGAAAGAATGGGATTAAAAGTGACAATATTACAATAGTTTAAGCTCTTAATTCCTTCCCCAAGTTCATGCATACACCCTCTAGTGGTCAAGCTCTGCACCTGTAGATTTTGGAGCAGGCTCTATACCTAGGGTTTGATGGTGGAGGGAGACAACTGATGCCGTAGGGTTTTCCTCGTGGACCTTTACAAACCGGCAGATCCCTCTTGAGAACTCCTGGAGATAGAAATTTTTGAACTGCAAGAAACCTCCTACTTGTTTCGTACTCCATTTTAAACTCTTCACCATTTTCACCACTGCAATGTTCTTTATATCCATGGGTGCCGGTTTCTGTAGCACTGGCTCTTGAATGAGAGGCCAGAGCTTGAAGAAGTAGCGGGACTAGAAGTGCTGCAAGCATGAAGAATAGGGAAAAGGTTCTTCTAACCCTACTCTTCATCTTCATTTGTTTGTCAAAACTAGTTGTAAAAATGTACCATTTATAGCTTGGTTGCCTTTTTTTTTCTTCTTTCTGTTTTAAAAAATGTATCTGCTTGTGAGCAAGTTTTGTTTGAATCTTTGTGGGTCATGGTGTTTCCTAGTGGGGTTTCTACACGTAAGAGTAACAAAGATAAGAAGTTTGATTTTGCTGAGCCTTTATTAATTCATGACATCTCGTGTGTGGAGAAATGAGTTTTTTCCAGGTTGTTTGAAATTGGAACCACAAAAAAGCCAAAAGGAGGTCATGTCATGGAGACCCTAATATGTAACTTGTGTCCAAATAGGTTTTGCAGACTAGTACCAAAATAATTGGACCCCTGTCAAATCTGTGATGGGCTAGTTTGTTTCTTTTCTGTGACCTATTCAAGAGGCAATTGGAACAGTTAACTAATAATCATTTCATTGAAGGGCATGTAATGGAAGGAAAAAAACAAGAAGGGAATCTTTGTTGCCCTTTTGTATCCAGCAGCCCTTTCATGTTTCAAGTTTTGATCCAGTGCAACAGCTTAAGGTGTATGCCCAATACCCAGAAGTTGAAGAAGCCAGACAAGATCAAACATCTTCACCCATAATGACCTAAATGAAGTTTTCACTAGTTAAAGCATTTGCCATAGGCCCATAGAACCTACTTGAATTACCAACTAGTCTTTGGTTTAGTGGTATTTGTTTCCGATTGGTTGGAGGAGGTCTCAGGTTCAACTCACATGGATAGGCCGGATGATATATATATATATATATATATATATATATATTTATGATAAGTTTGATATATCTAGTTGTGAGTATACTAGCCCGTTATAAAAGTATCTTGTAAATATCCTATCGTTTGTCCCAAAAAAAAAAAATTGTTTACCCTTGCATAATTGGATATTAGTAGCTGTATTTAATAGCCAATGGGTAACTAAGCATATAACGGGACATTTTGAAAAAGGCCAAAGGAGAGAGAAATATTTTGAAAAGTAGCCAAAATGGATAAAAATGTCCTTATTTATTTTTGGATTTCCTAAGGAATCCTTTACATTTGAATGTTTTTGGTTTGAAAGTTGAGGGGTTTTTATGTCTTGTTTGAAAAAAATTTGACTTTTTTCAAAAGTGAAATTTTTTTTGTGGCTAAAACCTAAATTTATTAAGATGGTATCAAGCAAGGAAAACTAGCTAGAAAAGTGTATTCTAAATGCTAGTTCAACAATGACCTTTGCAGAAATTAGAAACCAACAAGAATTTGAGATACTGGATATGAACAAATCACAAACTCACAAAGGTAGATCCAACACTTGATAAAGAGAAAAAAGTAACAAAGCATTTAACGAATGATGCCAAATGTAGGGCATCTCTGTATCAGAGTCTCCCTTGCAAACATAAAATGCAATCATTCAAATGCACCACTCCTAAACCCCATCTTGCAATCATTGGCTAACAGATAAGGATACGTCATCAGGTCAAGTGGCCATAAATCCAAAGGAAAACAGCATTGATGGTTGGCTTGGTCTTCGTTGCTATGTGCGATTTCAAACGTCTTAATTACTTCATGATTTTTTTTATTTTTTTTTTCCACAATTAAGAAAGGGGAGGGAGTATTCTCACGCACGCACAGTGCAGTTAGGAAAGGGGAGGGCACACGCACAGAGTGCCATGAGGGATCGAACTGCATGCAGC